AAAAAAACACCTTGTCTCATTAGCATATTCAGGAAACAGGTAGAGTTCAACTTATGACCACACTGGGACCAGAATTTATGTTGCTAAGCAAGCTAATGGAGTCATACCCAATTATATGGCCTTTTTTTGCGCCACAATTGTTAACTAAATCCCCAGAGTTGTTGAGTCCAGCCACCCCCATTAACTTTGCTTGTCAAAAACCAGATGAAAATGTCTCCAAGGGGAATCACATGACCCCAGGATGCTTCCGTTGCAGTAAATCCATGCTGTTCACCATGAACCCGGATTTTGATTATGTGACTGCGGGAATGCTCCAGTGGTCATAAGTGCAAGGACTGGTCATAAGTTACTTTTTTCAGTGCCGTTGCAATTTTGAACAGTCGCTAATGAATGGTCGTAAGTGGAGGCCTGCCTATAACCGTGATGGTGAACCTATGGCATGCATGCCACAGGTGGCATGCAGAGCCATTTGTTCCGGCACACGAGCCGCAGGCAAACTTACCTCACTGCGCATGCGTGCACTTCACTGCTGATTTTTTGGTTGGTTTGAAGCCTTTTCGGCCTCCCAGAGGCTTGAAAAAAGCTTCTGCAGGCTTTGCAGGCCGAATAATAGGCCCATTTCATCACTTCCTGTAATACCGGAAGTGATGAAACGGGCCTATTATTCGTCCTCCAAAACCTGCAGAAGCCTTCCTCAAGCCTTTGGGAGCCCCCAAAAGACCTCAAACCAGCTGAAAATCAGCTGTGAGGCGCAGTGGAAGTAAGGGGGTGGTGGCAGGGATTGCATGGGCATGCGCAAGGGCGTGGAGGGGCACGCACATTGCTTTCTGGGTGCTGGCACACTAGCACACGAGCACACAATTTTTGGCACAGGAGCCCCAAAAGTTTAGCCACCATTGGCCTATAGATCTAAGAAGGGCCTCCTGTTTTGTTTTAATTTTAAAAAGCCTTTATTAAGATATTAAAATACAAATATGTCTATAAAAAGGAAAATGAGTTGATACAATTCACCATCGTTCTCTGACAGTCCCAAAAAACATCTTGGCTATATTCATACATTCCAAATATTCATCCATTTCAACAGGTTCTCATTAATTAATTATATATATAATCTTATTTTTAACCTATATCTTTCCTATTTCTACTGTCTATCCATTGATACCAATTGTCCCGAGTTGCATAGTCTTCCAAGTCTTCCTTGTTATTCAGTTCTATGGTGGGTCTTATCCATTTCTGCTCATTCAAAAAAAAATTCAGATTATTAAACAATCTGACAGTATGGTAGATGTTTTCCAAGCTTGTGCTAATGCAATTCTTGCTGTTGTAATAATATGTAGAGTCAAATATTTAATATTTTGGGGGTATTTATCCTTAATAATTCCCAGGAGAAACAATTCAGGCTTCACCTCTGTTCGACAGTGGGTGATTTCATTTAGCCATTTTTGTATTTTGATCCAATATTTTTAAATTTCCGGGCATAGCCACCAGACATGGAAAAAGGTACCTTGTGCTTGTCTGCATTTCCAACACTTAGGGTTTAGGTTGGGATACATCTTTGCAAGTCTTGTTGGGGCTAAATGCCAACGGTAAAACATCTTGTATTGGTTTTCTTTATATGCAACAGATTTTGTTAGAGTATAAATTTTATTCCACATTTTTGAGCCTCCTGTTTTACTGCAAAATTATTTAAGAAAGACAATTCCTCCGTTTGGTAAATGCAAAATGTTGGCTTGGTAGTGTTTATGTGTCCTTCTTAGTTGCTTTGATAAGTCTGTCGTTTTAATTTCATTTGGCAGGAGATTTTTTTTGCAAACCACCTCAAAACTTTCCTCAATGTTCATCACACTCCAGAAAAAATCTGTCCGGTGTTTTATTAATAATGGTCCGTTTTAATTCCTTTCTTTTTTGGCATGGTGGATTTCTTGTCCTCCTCCCAAATCAAGCTTTGTGCCAGAGCAGTGGGACTGTTTCTGCTGCATTTTCATGGACGGTTGTCTCAAAAACCTCCCATTCATCGTTCGCACTGCAGAAGAAAGAACATCAATGTTCCCTCTGAATGGCCGGTTAAGAATCTTTTATAATCAGGCATTGCTTTTCTCGTAGCACAAAATGCTGGAACCCCCTTTGGTAGGAGGTCCTCACAAGGGGGATTTGGAAAGGACAAGCCTTGGCTGAAAGATCAGAAGAGTTTTGGCACCTAACCTTCCTGCCAAGCATCGTTCTTCATAGAAAGACCTTGCTTTGTTCATCCCAACTTGGTCAGTTAGAAAAGAAAGCTTCTTGGATACATGTCATATTCAGCAGGTTCTGACCAGTTCTGGAGGACCAGTTCTGGAGCAGTTGAAACTTTCAAGAAAAAATTGGGACTGCCATTTGTCAGAAATGATGCAGAGCCTCCTGCTTGGGCGGGAGGTTGGACTAGATGACCTACAAGGTCCCTTCCAACTCTGTTAATCTAAAAACAAAGCTCAGGAGGGCTGCGTGTGACCCTCCTGAGCTCCGTTTTCACTGGCAGAGGGTTGTAGGAGGCTGTCGCAGCCAAAAACGGAGCTCTGGGGCCCATTTTTGCTGTCAGAGCGCTTGGGCGATCACAGGCACCCCTAACACAAGTGATGTCAAGCTGGCCACACCCACCTTGGCCGCTTAAGGTCAAACACAACCCTGATGCAGCCCTCCATGAAATCGAGTTTGACACCCCTGCTCTAAATGGTTTGTAGGGTCGGCCTATTGTTCCCCAACAACCTGGGTCCTCGTTTCACCGACCTCAGAAGGATGGAAGGCTGAGTCAACCTTGAGCTGCTCAGGATCAAACTGTTGGCAGTTGGCAGAGTTAGCTTGCAGGGCTGCATTCTAACCTATGGACCACTATAGCTCCTTTGTCACTTCCAATTGTTGGAAGAAATGTTCTTCTGGGTTCCGTTCCAAGTAGGGAAAAAAAGACACTGGAAACATGGAGGCTGTTTGGAAAGATGGTTTAATGGTGGACAGCAGGACCACATGGCTTGGAGCTCCAAAGTGAAAAGGACGACCACATGCTTCAAGATGCTGAGTGAAGGAAAAGAAGGGCTGAGGTGCTGAGAGACCCTTAGTTATATACCCTCTGTTGGGCCCCACCTTATTGTTTCCCGTTCCTGTGTAAGAAATGTTTCCCATTGGCTGTCAGACTTCCAGGGGGCGGGGTCTTAGCTAACTTTGTAGGCTTTGTCTGGACCACAGGGCTTCACCTAAGTGCTGGCTGATGCAATCTTCCCAACCCAGGTGATGAGATGGGTAGAGGCCTTTGTTATGTAGAATACTCTGCCCCAGGCCCGCCCAATTTACAAAGGTGGGGGGGGGAATAAACTTCTGCCTCTCTGAGTTTCTACTTCCCTTTTAGGGGAAATATTCTGCCTTTTTAATATTTCCTAGGATATTTCATTTTCCTCGGAGAGGGGTGGGTGCTAACTTCCTACACCATCAACTGATTTTGTTCAGTAAAGTTCTGAACATTGGAGTGCAACGAAGCCAAGAGAGCTTCAGGTCCACCAAATTCAACCTGGACTTGGAAAGATAGCCTTCAAGGGACGCCAAAAAAACAGCAACGCAACAGCAACAACCCCCGTTGCTCCGAAGATGCAGCTTACCCAGGACGTTTGAGCCCACCAGCAATCTAGATGGCTCTCAATTATAACGGGCCATGTGCTCGGTGCTCTTTTGGTTATCTCATCCATCAGCGCGTCCTGTGAACCCAAGAATTAGGAAATCATTTCCTGCCAGCCTAGACATCAAATGAGGGTGAACTAGACTGAATTCAGCTCGTGAAGCTGGTGAGTTTTTAAGCTGCTGGTGGTGAGCGTTTTCTCTGCATCCACTTGGCTACTCAAGGTGGCTGAAGTGCGATGTCAGAAGGAAGTGACACAAAACGGAAGGAGCAACTGAACTAAATAGACAGTTTCTCGGTGAGTTTGAAAGGCCCTTTTCCATTCAGTTGGTTCTTCCTGGGTCAGCCAAGGACAATGATTTTTAAAAGGGGCAGTTTGCCGGGGCTAGACGTTGCACAACTGGTGCGCCTCCAAAGATAGATTGACGATGCCTCCTGTTTGAGGAAATCTGCCCACAACTTTAAAAAGAAAACAAAACAAAACCCAGAATCAGGCCTGGAATGAAAGTTGCCATTTGGAACAGAATTTGCAGAAGGAAAAATCCATTTCCATCATCTGCAGGTCCCTTCATGTCTGCCCAAACACCTTTTTACTTCCCTGTGCCACCCGAATCCAGGCGGATTTCAAACCCACCGGAGCATTCCCATAAAGGGCATTTCCCCCCTCGCCCCCATCCCTAAGACAGCAGCAACTTCATTCTGGGGGCATCCTTTGTAGGCTTTGCTGTACTTAGGAGAGGGGGGGGGGCGAGGGAAGGATGCCTTTTAAGGCTGAATGTAACCGTGTGAAGGGAGCCCGCGTGCGCCAGAACCCAGGGTACCCGCTCTTCCTCCCCGGCTGCCTCTTCCTCGCCAGCCCTTAATTCGCATTTAAAGGAAGGGCCTTTAGGGGGAAACTAAGGACGGGCGCACTCCGCCTTCGCAGCCAGCAAACGCGATCGGGAAGCGCGCAAGCCTTGCGCAACCAGCCCGGAGGAGCCCCGAACGTGGGAACTGAGCGGCCGGGCGGGGACGCTCTCCTCCTCTTCCTCTTCTCCATCCCCTTCCCACGCCTCTGGCCAGCCAAGCCAACCGGAGTCCCCGTTCCCCACCCTCCCCCGCCCCCCGGGGAGAGAAGAAGAGGGGCGGGTGGTTTGCGTGCCCGGGGCAGAGCGAGCCGCGAGCACCCACCGACGCGCCTCCGCGGAAAGGCAGCAACCGGGCGCTCCTGCTCCGCGGGAGGAAGCCGCGGCGGCGGCTAGACGAGGCGAGGCGAGGCGGGGCGGAGGAAGGCGGGGGAGAGAGAAGCGATGGCTCACGGCTGACCGCATCCGCGCCGGCTCGGCTCCGAAATCCCGCCGCCCGGCCCGGCCCGACCCGACCCGGCCCCTCCGTCTTGAAGGCTTCCCCGATGGCGTTCAGCACCTCCTGGCAGCTGCTCTCGCCCGTGCAGTGGGCCAAGTGGACCTGGTCGGCCGTGCGAGGCGGCGGAGCCCCGGACCCCGAGCGGGATGACCTCGACGCCGACGGGGAGAGGGGCCCAGTGCAGGAGGAGGAGGAAGAGGAGGAGGAGGAGGCGGCGGCGGCGGCGCAGGCGGAGACCAAGTCGCTGAGTCTCAGGCAAGTCGGAGCAGCTTGGGGTGGCTTTTCACACGTTCCGAACGCCAAAGGCGGACCCGTGTCGGCCTCCGAGGGGGGGGCTCGCGGGTCAGGCGAGAGAGGGAGCGCTGGATGGGGCTGGGGGTCGCTTGCAAGCGGAGAGGTGGGAGGGTTTTTTTGTTTTTTGTTTTGCACCTCCGGGCCACATCTGGAGATTTGGGGGGCGCTGGCTTCGGTCCTAAACCAAGCCGCCGTGTTTGCACAGCAGGGTCGGCTTGCGCGTCAGGGGATGGCGGCTGGGGAAAGAGAAAAAACTTGGGAACCGAGCCCAGGGCACCCGAACGTCGGGAACGGACTCCGTGGGCGAATGACACGCGTGTCTGGGCGCCTCGCCTCTTCTCTCGGCGGGGCATTCCAGAGGGAGACGTGGCTGGCTTTTTCACCCCTTAGCCATGCTCGGTGGTACAACAGGCTCTTAAACCATAAATCGTGGTTAAGAAGCCATCAGGGTGGCTAAGGCCAAAGAAGCAAGTCACGGTGCGGCGCAATAGGGTGGCCGATGGCACATGGCGCCCTGAAGGCCACCCATTTGGCTTCCGCTTTGCTGCTAATCACGATTTACGGGGTTGGCCAGTTGATTTGGGGACAGGCCGTTATTGACTCTTTTCGCCACATCTGGACATCAGCCTCCAAGCCTTGGTGAGTCGTCGGGCCACGAATGTGTCAGCAAATGCCATACCCCTCCCCCCACCACTGGCGGAAGCACATCAGGACGCAAAATACAGCCTTGGCAGTTTCCTGGTCTGCTTTATCTTCAGGGGGTCGGCAGCTGACCCAGAGCCTTGCTATCTCCTTCAGAGGCGGAGTGGATGTTTTCTCTCGACCTTCCTTGCCTGCTCAGAACAGCTGCCTTGGCAGATCTAGTTGATGGGTCACACACACACGCACACACACACACACACACACACACACACACACACACAGGGGCATCCAGGCTGCCACGTAATCTCTGAAGAATAGAATCAAATTCTTTATTGGCCAAGTGTGATGGGACACACAAGGAATTTGGGTTTGGTGCTTAATTGCTACCAACCTGCCTTGCATTGAGGACCTATATATACTGCACTTGAGTCCCCAAAAAGGGCTGTGAAAATATCTACAGACCCCTCACATCCCGGACATAAATTGTGTCAACTCCTACCCTCAAAATGACGCTATAGAGCATTGCACACCGGAACAACTAGACACAAGGACAGTTTTGTCCCGAGCGCCATCACTCTGCTACACAAATAATTCCCTCAACACTGTCAAACTAGTTACTAAGTCTGCACTACTCTTACTAGTAACCTTCTCATCACTCCTTATCACCCATCCCCTCCCACTTGTGACTGTATGACTGTAACTTTGTCACTTGTATCCTTACGATTTATATTGACAGTTTCCTAGTATGTTTTGATTGCTTATTGTACCCTATGACTATTATGAAGGGTTGTACCTTATGATTCTTGACTCTTGAAGAATGTATCCTTTCTTTTTATGTACACTGAGAGTATTTACACCAAAACAAATTCCTTGTATGTCCAATCACACTTGGCCAATAAAGAATTCTATTCTATTTGCTATTCTATTCTGTTCTATTCTATTCTGTTCTATTCTGTTCTGTTCTATTCTGTTCTGTTCTATTCTATTCTATTCTATTCTATTCATATATTCTCACTGTACATAAAGAAAAAATAAAATACATTCATCAAGAATCATAAGATACAATACTTAGTGACAGCCATCGGTTACTAACAAGCAATTAAATCATATTAGGAAACAAAACAATATAAATTGTAAAGCAACACAGTTATAGTCATGAGTGGGAAGAGATAGGTATTAGGAAGGATTGAGAAATCACTTAAATTGAGTCCAGAAGTAAATTCTAGAGAGAGTGGCTGTTTTTCCTCCTGTGCCCTCTGCTCATTGGATTTGCCAACTCCCAGAGCCAAACTTTTGCCTTTTCAATATTGTCATTTTGGGAGCAGAGAGTTGATTCTGTGATCGGTCATTACCATCTCTGGTCATCTAGAGCAGTGCTCTAAAGCTGGCTAAGGAATTCTGGTAGTTGAAGCCCGCAAGTCTTAAAGTTGCTATGGTTGGAGACCACGGATCTAGAGTAAGATGCAATTGGCTTCTAGAGCAGGGGTTTTCAAACTTGACAACTTTTAAGACTTATGGACTTCAACTCCCAGAATTCCTCCTCTAGTCATGTTAGCTCAGGAATTCTGGGAGTTGAAGTCCACAAGTCTTAACCTTGCCAAGTTTGAAGACCCTTGATCTAGAGCTATGCCACAGGGGAAAGCGTTTAGATGAGCGCAGCTGTGCGAAGGGTGTGATTGCAGTCTTGAGATCATTCTCCACCAAGTAGCCACATGAGAAGTAGAAGAACAATCCATTCAAGACATGTGGATTCTTACATGGAGCAGGTGGTTGGACATGATGGCCCAAAGATACCGTGATTCCATAAAACGCTCGTCTACGGCTAGGAAGTCATCCGATTGATAGTTGGGATAGTCCTCGACTTACCGCCACTAAGTGAGACACTCGTTAAGTGGATTTTGCCCCATTTTACAACCTTCCTTGCCCCAGTTGTTAAGTGAATCGGTACAGACATTAAGTTAGTGACACGGTTGTTAAGTGAATCAGGCTTCCTTGTTGACTTGGCTTGTCAACACTGCAATCATCATAAATGTGAGTTGGTTGCCAAGCATCCAAATTTTGATCACGTGACCATGGGGATGCTGCAATGGTCATAAGTGTGAAAAACAGTCATTAATCCCTTTTCCCCCCAGCACCGTTGTAACTTTGAAGGGACGTGAAATGAATTGTTGTTACGTTGAGGGCTCCCTGTAACTGGATTGTTTCATATTGTTCTTGGGCTGGGCTCGACAAATCCGTCCATTTAAAAAACTGTATTAAAACTATTTTTATTTGCTTGGAATGCTGTTTAAATGAAGTCAAATTGAAGTGTTGCCTGGGCTTGGTCCGCTTTTCAAAGCACAATCGCCAGCCTGTCCTTTAAAACAACATGGTTTATATTTGACATAATACCTGTGTAGAGTGATTCAAAGAAGAGAGATCTGTCACCCAGCAATGGATGACAGTGGGCAGGGAAGCTCTCTAGATCAGGTGTCGGCAACCCATAGCTCCAGAGCCGCATGAGGCTCTTTGGGCCTTCTGCTGAGGCTCCCTCTCCCATCACTGGCTGGCCCCTCGCCCTCCCCTTCCTCACCTGGCCTGAGAAGGTAAGGGTGATGGCAGGGGATGGAGAAACAGCCGGGGCCTCACTCTTGCTGGAGCTTCTTCCGGCCCTTGTTGGTGGGAGTGAGTGACATCGAGTTGGCCATGCCCACCCAGGTTTTGTGGCTCCCGGTGTTTATTTTTTCCTGTGGGAAATGTGTCCAAATGGCTCTTTGAGTATTTAAGGTTGCAGACCTCTTCTCTAGATGAACCTCTTCTCTGGTCCTTTGACACTCGCAGCAGCTGAAGAATGCACCGGGAATGCACCATAAATAGGGGAGGTGTTTACAGAGCGTGTCTGAAGGATGATGTGGGTGGAAAGAAAGGAGGACGTGGCTTAAGCCCTGTCCATTGGAATAGCATGTTCGTGAATGGTCTGGCTGTGGAAAACCCCTAACTAGATGGAAAACTGAATTCAGAGTCAAACAAAACCTGGGCCTTTGGGTGGGGGAGTTTATTTATCTTGCAGCTCAGTGGAATCTTCTAGGACTTCCTGATAGCTAGCAAATATAATATACTTTAGAATATCCACAGTAGATATAAATAAAAGTTCAAAACTGAAACCCCAAACCAGCATCAAAATGAAACCCGGATGGCAAGCGCTCCTATCACTACTATAGTGGTGGAGAACTCCCATCTCCGGCATCTCCCCAAATAAATAAGAAAAACAAAAATTAGGGTGGCATTTTGATCTCAGCTGAGCAAAGAACAGATTTTGTCCCAGAGAAGACACACCTCTTTGCTTTGACCTCCCAGCTCAGGGGTCCCAAAATTTGGCCAACTTTAAGACTTGTGGACTTCAACTCCCAGAATTCCTCCTCCAGTCATGTTAGCTCAGGAATTCTGGGAGTTGAAGTCCACAAATGTTAAACTGGCCAAGTTTGGAGACCTCTGTCCTAGCTTCTTAGAAGTGGGATATGTCCCATAGTTTCTCCTGGGACAATTAAGTTGGTTGTCTTGATTCAAGTAGAAGAATGTGGTTCTGTGTATAGCTCGTGCCAAGTCTGACTAGGCTGTAATGGTTCATAGTGGCCTTTTGAATTGCACCTGGGAATTAATTAGTAGCCAGTGTAACATGCTTCTGGTGACCTATTATAAATGAAGTTCAAAGTTTCCAATAGCATCCACAGGGAGGATGGTTAATAATTGGATGCAGCATGCACTGACAGGGAGAATTTAATTCCTTTTTGCGGCTGTGGTCCTGAGAAAATTAGCTTTCTGAAGGAGCCAAAACAACTTCCTTGGAACAACAACAGAGAAGGAAATGCTGCTAAAATTCTGATGTTCAAACAGGCAAAATATAAAAAGCCGCATATTCATGTTTGCTCACACCCTTTAACAGATTAAGAGTTGGAAGGGACCTTGTAGGTCATCTAGTCCACACACACCCCAAGCAGGAGACCCTACACCATTTCTGACAGATGGCAGTCAAGTCTCTTCTTGACAACTTCCAGCGATGACTCTCCCACAACTTCCGAAGGCAACTTCTGTTCTATGTAGGGGTTGATCGTTCTCACTGTCAGAAACTTGTCTCCGTATTTCCAGGTTGAATCTCTCCTTGTTCAGTTTCCATTCATTATTCCTTATCTGGCCTTCGGGTGCTTTAGATAATAGTATGACCCCTTCCTCTCTGTGGCAGCCCGTCAAATACTGGAAGATGCTATCTTGTCTCCCCTGGTCCTTCTCTTCCTTAGACTAACCATGCCCACTTCCTGCAACCGTTCACCGTATGTTTTAGCCTCCAGTCCCCTAATCATCTTGGTTGCTCTTAGAAAGTTTAGTTCCCTGTTCTGCAACACAGTGCCAGAGAGAAACCAAGTGCCTGATAGTTCCCTTGTTTCCAACCTGCCCATGTTTTGGTTTTTTAGATTATTTAAAATAAAAACCAATAGAAAGACGTATGTGTGTTCTGGAGCAAAACACCCAACTTCAGCATTATCCGAATTTCCTACAAATGCCAGGGAACCCATGTTAATATCTCAGGGGCATTTTAAAAGTTCACTCCAGCTCAGTGCTCTGTTTAAAAAAGGGTTCCCAGAAAAAAAAATGGGACAGGCAGGGGGGGCTGCTGGGGGCTTGCAAGAGAGCCCCTAGCTAAGACTCTGTGGGGTTCAGAGAGCCCCCACAATAACCCCAGAAAGACAAGCAGCAAGGGAAAGCTCTTAGTAAGCTTAATTGAACTTCTGGGAGTTCAGCCAAGAGCACTTCACACCTCGTAAAAGTGTTGCAAGCTACATGAACAATCCACTCAACACTTGAGAGGGTGAGCCATTGAGAAAAATCAGATAACATAGCCACTGGTTTCCAAGGGGATTAATTCCCAAATAATAAGAATCATGTAACTCACCAGAAACTCCACTAAGACTCCAAGATCCCACTCACAGTCACTACTATTAAGCCTAGTTTCACCCAGTCTTTTATTTAAGTATTAAATGCACAAAATAATTAAAAAAAACTTTTTGGTACATATCTTTTTTTTTTTGTAATTAGGGCAAAGAAGCAACTTCGAGTTGTCCACATGCACCCAGTCACATGCCCACCTAGCCACGCCCACCCAGCCATGCCCATCCAGCTAGACATTAGGGCAGAGAGCCCCTTGCTAAAAAATTTGAAGCCCACCCCTGGGAACAGGTAAGCAACACCTGAATGGCAGTGTCATTGGAGGAAGGCACAACATGATGTCCACAACTGCAATCAAACCTTGTATCATTTTTTTATATGAATCATAAGGATGTGTGCATTTTTTGAACTCTTCTTGCAAAACAGTTCTTGATAACAAGCTTGAAAAGTCGCTTATTTGATTGGAGGAAATAATGGGTTTTTTTTTTTTTTCCTCCTCTCCTTCGTCCCTTGGCAGTTCGGATTCGGAAGGCAATTTTGGGACTCCTGAGGCAGAGACGCCGATCCACTCCTTGGGGAAAGAGTTGGAAGAGCTGGATCTGGATCTGGAAGTCGGGTCCCCAGGTAAACCACTGCTGAGCCTTACTTTTCCTTCCTTTGTTAAAAATGCACAGTGCATCCTGTTTCTCTTGCTAGTATTTTATTTTTTTCCTGTGGCTCATCATTTGGCTCTGTGCATGGTCTAATAGGGACAAAGCTGTGTGTTCATCATATTAGTTCAACCTTCTGGTAATTTGAGCTGAGCATAGATCTCGGTTTGTTTTTTTACCATATTTCACTGTGGATGCTCTCGGATGGGATTCTACCTGGTCGGACCAGTTCTATAGAATCGGTTGTTACGATTCTGCGCAGTTTGGAGAACCGGCAAATTGCGCCACTGGCCCCTCCCCTCCCCGCCCACTCACTCCTTACCTGGCATGCGCCATCCAACTTGCCTGCTTTGTGTCTTTGCCTAATTTTTGGTAAGTTGCTATTTTTCCTTCCCCCCGACCATCAGCTGTTCTGACTATCAGCTGTGCTGGGAGATTTAGATTAGCTAGAAAGCAGGAAATCATTGGATTTCTTGCTTTCTAGCTAATCTAAAAGCAGAGATGAACCTTCCTTAGGACTGAAGCTTCTATTTTTCAGTGCAGACTCAGGCAGCAAATTGCAGAAAGATAGATCTCTGAGTGAAACTGTGATTCTGTGAGCAACTCAATCTGCCTGCCTGCTCTGCCTGATTTTGGGTAAAAGTTGCTTTTCTAAATTTTTTAAAAAATCAATATTTACATAAATATTTACAATATTTACATACAAGTCATGCCCAGCCAGTAATGTGATCAAGCTACACCCACAAATTAGGCCACGCCCACAGAACCAGTTATTAAGAAACTTGAATTCCACCCCGGGTGCTCTCCATGAAAGAAAGCTAGGCAACCAGATGGACTTAGCTTCAGGAATGTCCTTGCAGAAGTATGAAATGCCGTTTGCTGAAAATTGCAGTTTCTATTAATAATAAATATAAGAAAGGTCAAAAGCAAACTGTTTGCCCTTTAGGGCTGGAAAACTGATAAACAGGCTGTAGCTTTTTATTAAGCTTGGAACCTCAAGAGTTTATTACGTTATGTTGGATATTCAGATCCCAGATTGGTGGTGGTTTGAGCTCTGTTTACATGTATCCCTTTGGGTTCTTCCATATTCAGTCAAATCAGATGATGAAATGTGATCATTTGAACATTTTATAGCAAATATAACATTTCCTGCTGGCAAATTCCTGAGTTCTTGAACTGTTGATAATAACTATGAATAATGGGAATAATCCCTTTGTTCATATTCTCGTTCATATTGTTTGCGTTCAAAAATAAAGAGGGTTTCCAGTTTTCTAACTGAGAAAAACATGCTTTCGGTCCTGGGCTTTAGAAAGATGCCTTTAGAAAAATGTTCATTAGGAAATACTCTCTATTTTTGTAAGGTCTCTGCTCCATCTCCCATAATCTAGGCAGTACATTCTATTAAGTCATTACTCTTCTCCATCAGCGATTATTACTAATAACTGAATGTAAAATATTGATAATACCATAGTAGCATTCCTTCAAAAAGCTTAACACAGCATACAGTGATCAGCACTCCCCTTAAGATGTACGGAAAAATGAAGAGCAGAAATGGCTTCTCTGTGAATTTGCTCTAACTAGGATTTGCTAAGCAAGCTTTAGTTGGCAAACAGTGCTACATCAGAAATCTTGGTTTAGAAGCCATGAGGTAGGATGTATGCAAGCCACATGGTAGCTTAGAGCAAGGAATTGTGCAAAGATTAGTTGTACTAACTCTAACTCATCATTCTCTTCTTTTAATGACCCCATAATCCCATGCAGGGTGGAGTCTGGGCAATTGAATGGAGCTAGCAGAGTGTTTTAATGGCCGGATGCCTTTCCTGTTACCAATGCTAACTCTCATTCTCTTCTTAAAATTTATCTCCCTTTCTTTGTACCATTGTGGGCTTATTCCTGAATTCTCCCAAGCACACACCTTGTTGATTTGAACAGGGGCAGCCAAAAAGCTGGAATGGTATAGGGCCGTGGTGGCGAAGCTATGGCACGCATGCCAGAAGTGGCATGCATGCCAGAAGTGGCATGCAGAGCCACTTCTTCCAGCACACGAGAGCTTGCCTGGAAGAGCCCCACTGTGCATGCGTACACACCACCACCGCCCGACAGCTGGTTGTCAGATATCTGGCGTACATGCGTGGGAGGGTGGGGGATGCGCAGAGATGTGCACGCATGCACAGTGATGCGCAGCACACAGGGGAATCATGTGCGCGTGTGCAGAGTGTCAGCTTTAAAAATTCAGCTGCCATATTTCATGAAAGGAGGGGTGGAGGAGTTGAAAAGTTCAAGGTTATTCTGTATGTCGTATTAAGAAATTCCAGTTGCAGTTAATTGGTTCTCTTGATTATGAAGTGTAGAAGTGGGAGGAGAGAAGGGATGAGAGAAGGTGGATTCTGTGTAATGGCGCAAAAATACTTTCACTTTGGGAAATTGCCTTAGACATACCAGATCTGTTTCTAAATAAATCAATTGGAGAGAAAATGTCTCGGTGTGATTGATATCATAGATACTTTCTGGATGCCTTACACAGAGATGAACAGCACAGGGAGTGATTGTGTGTGCATGCACAGACGCATGGCATGCGGCGGGGAAATCACATGCACATGTGCAGGGGGGGCATGGGGAGGCAGCACACATTGCCTTCTGAATGCTGGCGGTGAGCAAGAGCTCACGAACGCCCACACAATTATCGGCACAGGAGCTGAAAAAGGCTAGCCACCACTGGTCTAGGGTCTCCTGCTGGAGCAAGGGGTTGGACTAGAAGACCTCCAAGGTCACTTTCCAATCTTTTTATTCCATGTGTTTTCTATGAGCGCATAAGTACGATGGAATAACCTTCCTTTGTGGTTGGATGTTAGAGTTTGTCATGGCTGACCCAAAGAAGAGGCCCGTCTAGCTTTATCCCTACGAAATCTTCTGGAGAACTTATATGTGTGTGTGTGTGTGTGTGTGTGTGTGTGTGTGTGTGTGTGAAGATCACAAATGTAGAGCTACAAAAGACTGACATAGACATTCCTTTTCATTCTACCGACAAAGTAGCCCTTCATTTTGATGCAGGTCACATGCCACCGACTGCTTCTCCTCAGGATAAACACACCTCACACACTCTCCGCGAGTTGGGGGAGAGGGATGTGTGTGTGTGTGTGTGTGAGAGAGAGAGAGAGAGAGAGAGTGTGTCTCAAACGTGGCAGCTCCCTTTGTCATTGTGAAGGAAGCGGATCTTTTGCAGGGGGAGTTTTTCCCATGCTTAGCAAAACAACCAGGGGGTTGGGGAAATCTTTATTTAGCAGAGTTGCTGCAGGAGGGTTACAACAGATGGATCCAGGCTCTTGCGGGTTTTTTTTTTTCCAGCATTGCCCTACAATTGTGCATCTTACAGAATTTTCCTTTCACGCCCCAAAATCCTTCCCCCCTCCTTGTTATCCTCTTGCCTTTGTAAGCGTGAAATTTGTATTACAAAGAGAGAAACAGCGGAGATCCCGCTGCTGAATTTGAGGCTTTGCAGGGCTATAAATTAGACTGTGGAGGGTTTTTGTTTAAAAAAAAAAATTCTGGCAGAATAAAAGGGCAAGCCCTTTCTCTATTTTTTTTAATATATATATATATTGCCACTAACAGATGCAGCAAACCTCTGTATTTTTGTAAAGGGGGAGTTTTCCCCCCTTTTTAATGTGTGCCTGGCCGTCTCCTGATCAGTCTCGTGAAACGATCAAGGACATGATGAGTGCAAAATCTGCCATGTGAATCCATCATAGTCTGAGGGTCTGAACAAAATCTTGGCAAGGCAAGTAGCAAAGATTAAAAAGAAGCCTTTTTCAAACAATCAGAATAGAACTGGAAGAGACCTTGGAGGTCTCCTAGTCCAACCCCCTGGTCAAGCAGAAGACCCTGTACCAGTGATGGCTAACCTTTTCCCCACGCATGTGTGGCCGATGCCTGACAATCAGCTGGCAGATTGGGGCGCGCGCATGCACAATGGGGATCTTCCGGATGACCTCTCGTGTGCTGGCAGAAATGCGTGCCATAGGTTCACATCGGGGCCCTATACTGTTTCAAACAAATGGCTGTCTAGTCCTTTCTTTTTTTAAAAAAAAATAAATTTGTTTATTCAGCGTTTCAACAATTAAAAACAATTTTCCACATCTTGCAACGATACTATAGCAGTGTTTACATTTGTAAATATCCTCTATTACTGTGTTTTCCATCCCTATATTAAATTCTTCATTCTTCATCATTCTAAGCATTTTACACATGTGCACATTTATATGTATATACTTTTATTTACACGTAAACCTTATTACTTTATGATTATATATCATTTGACACCTTTGCGTCGTTTCTTTATCCATTCGTACCAAATATCCCGTATCTTATAGTATTCTGCTTCTTTCTTATTTTTCAATAGCTTCGTCAACCTGTCCATCTCGGTGTATTCATATATGTTATTAATTATTGCGGTTTCTGAGGGGGTCATGGCTGTCTAGTCTCTGTTCTGACCCAATCCTGTTACCAGCAAGAAAATCTCAAACAAATGCAGCAACTCAAACCCTCACAGCTTTTTTTTTTTAATAGAAAACTTTATTAGAGAGTAAAAAAGATGAAACAGTATGTACAATACATCCAATACAACCTTACGTTTTAGACAAAATCTATATATACAAATACATAATAGATAAACATATAAAACATATGCTTCTATTCAACTAAGACGGTGTGCTTTTTTCTTGGTAATAATTTTGCTACTATTCGTTTCTTATTTGGTAAACATTCTTAATTTAACTACCCCATTCATCAAAAACATATCTTTTAATTTCCTAGTTTTTTCTCTTTAATCCACTTATACCATTTATCCCAAGCTGTAATATATCTTGAGTCTTCCTTATTCAAACCTTCACAGCTTTAATCTACAAATAACTTCTTTGTAGATAAAAGATGGCTTGCAGCCAATTTGGCCAACCAGAAAAGCCTTGACAGAATTAA